GAGAAGTAAATTTGCAGCAATTCCTGTAATGCTGTGGGTAAAACAGTACCACCACGACCTCTAATATAATGTATTAAAACTTTATACAGATATGCAGGTGAATAGGATTCCTAGCTGGCAGGCCCCTGACAGCAAGCTGGCCACCTGTCGATTCTTTTAGGAATGGGGCTCCCTCCTCCCTCCTGTCAGGGCCCTCGCCCTCGCGGGAAACAGCTTGGGGAGGGCAAAGCCCTTGGCAAGGTGACCCAGGACTCAGTGCATCCACACTCCGAGGACGGGTTCCTGCCTCAAACCTTGCCCTTGTGGGAAACAGTTGCCAAGGTTGGTCGAGCCTCAGACGTGACCCGTTACACCCAGGGTTTTTATATAAATACATTGCATCTATTTGCTATAATAACATGTGCTTACTGTAGAACATTTAAAATTCCAGAAAATAATAAAGAAGAGAATAAATATCACCAGCAATCCTAATATCCAGGATAAGCACTACTAAAATTTGGGCATACTCCCTTTCAGTCTTTGTATATATACCAGAGGCCTGGCCTAAACTGGCAGTCAGACATCCCTCTCACAATCCGGGACCACTGGCTCCTAACTGCTTACCTGCCTGCCTGCCTGATCACCCCTAACTGCCTCCCCTGCTAGCCTGATCACCCCCTAACCACCTCTGCCTGCCAGCCTGACTGCTCCTAACTGCCTCCCTGTCAGCCTGGTCGCCTCCAACTGCCCCTCCTGCTGGCCTGATCACCCCCTCTCCCCCCCACCTGCTGGCCTGATCACTCCAACTGCCCCCCCGCCGGCCTGGTCGCCCCACGCAGCCAGCTGTTCAGTCGTTTGGTCATCCCTCACTAACCCCCCCGCTGGCCTGGTTGCCGCATGCAGCCTGCTGTTCAGTCGTCCATCCAGTTGTTTCAGTTGTGACCGCCCCTGGCTTTTTATATATTAGGACCAGGGGCCCAGTGCACAAATTCGTACACCTTGAAAAGAACTGTGGTCCATGATGGGCACAGGGACAGGTCTCGGCCCATTCTCTGTACCCCTGCCCGGCCTCTCCTGCCACAGCCCCCGGTCCCCTGTCTGCTGGCAGCCCTGCTCCTGTTGCTGCTGCTCCCACCTGCTGATGGCGCTGGCCCCACTTTCACCTGCTGATGGAATGGAGCGATTTGGGCCAGCGCCAGCAGCAGGTGTGAGCGGGGCTGGCGCCAGCAGCGGGTGCAAGTGCTGGGTGGGACTGTGGCACTCAGGAGCAAAGAACTTTCAGTAACCACCAGAGGCTCACTCCGATGACAGCAACAGGTGCCCTGCCTTGGTCTGGCTCCCCCCATTCACCTGCTCCACGATCCTGCTGCAGGAATGCCCGCCATGTTCTGCATACGCCCCCTGGTGGTCAGCGCAAATCATAGCAACAGGTTGTTCGGGTTGTTCCACAGTTCAGTCTATTTGCATATTAGGGTTTTATATATATAGAAACACTAGAGGACTGGTGCATGAAATTCATGCACAGGTGGGGTCTCTAGGCCTGGCCGGTGATCAGGCTTGATCAGAGCCAGGCCAATCAGGGCCCAAAGGCCCTGGTGGTGTCAGGAGAGGAGGTGACGGTCCCTGGGCCAGGCACAGAAGAAATGGACATCAGATGCCAACACCACCCTGGGCACCCCACTACCGCACAGTTCCCCGCCTCCCCCCCTTCCTTCCCTCACCACCACAGCGCCACAAAGGGGGAGGGACCATGGGAGGTTTGCTGGCTAAGGGGAAAGGTTGCAGGAGGTTGGCCACTGGCCCCAAGGAAGGAGCCGGCCCTCGGCCCCCCCGGGAAAAGGGCCGTGTCCACTGCCACCCACCCCCGGTTCCTTGTCCCAGCCTGGGACCCAGCCTGATTGGGTGATGGGGGCCTGCCGGCTGAGGGGAGGGACCACTGGAGGTTGGCGATTGCATGGGGTCCGGCCGGTGAGCCCTAATTGGGACCAATCAGGTCCAGGCTGGCCAGGGGGAGGGGACATGGGAGGTTGGCCGGACTGCTCCACTCCAATCAGGGTGGGGGGTGCCAATCAAGGGCCAGGCTGGCCGGGTGTAGGGGCCGCAGGAGGTTGGCTGGCAAGTCCTGCCCCCAATTAAGGTGGCGGGGGCTGATAAGGGGCGGGTCTGGCAGGGGGAGGGGCCGCAGGAGGTTGGCTTGCCGTCCCATGTCCCTGATTGGGCCAGTTGGCTGGCCGCAGTGTACATCATAGAGACTGGTTGTTCTGGTTGTTCTAGTTGTTCCGGTCGCTTGGCTTTTATATATATCTACTAGAGGCCCGGTGCACAAAAATTTGAATCTCTGACATAATTTAAAATGGCCATTTTCTTTTCTAGGTAAAAGTTCATTGGCCCAAAGATCTGCTTCTTCAAAACGCAGAATTCAACTCATTTTCTACATTTCTTTACCTATGTTTGTCATTATTGCTGCTGTTTTAATAAAGCAGGATAAAATAAGAGATCTATGCTACAGAGGTGAAACCCGAAGTGAAAGGTATATATATATCTCTATACTAATAAAAGGGTAATATACTAATTAGACTGGATGTCTTTCGGACGACCTTCTGGACGTCCTTCCTGACAAAGCTGGGCCTGGGCGAAGCAGCCCCTGGTGCCGGGAGCCTGTGGCTGCGGCCAGACCAGGTGAAGCCACCCCTGGTCCTGGGCACCTGTGGCTGGCCTGGGCAAAGTCGACCTGAGTCCCAGGTGCCTGCGGCCAGCCAGAGGGAGGGAAGCCTGGGTCCCGGGTGCCTGTGGCCAGCTGGAGGAGGGAAACCTGGGTCCTGGGTGTGGGGGCTGAGCCAGAGACAACTGGGTCAATCAGGCCGGCAGGGGAACAGTTAGGGGTGATCTGGCAGGCAGGCAGAGGTGGTTAGGGGCGATCAGGCAGGCAGGGGAGAAGTTAGGGGTGATCAGGCAGGCAGGCAGAGGGGTTAAGGGTGATCAGGCAGGCAGGCAAGCGGTTAGGAGCCAGTGGTCCCTGATTGCAAGAGGGATCTACAACAGCTGGTTTAGGCCCAATCCTGATTGGGATCGGGCCTAAACCGGCAGTTGGACATCCCCTGAGGGGTCACAGACTGCGAGAGGGTGCAGGCTGGGCTGCGGAACCCCTCCCCCCTTTGTGTACAAATTTCATGCACCGGGCCTCTAGTAGATATATAATTACAAAATGAAGAACATACTTTACATACAATTTTTAAAAAAATATATTTCTTTATTTATTTCAGAGAAGAAGGGAGGAGAGAGAGATAGAAACATCAATGATGAGAGAGAATCATTGATTGGCTGCCTCCTGCACACCCCCGAGGTGGTTAGGGGCAATCAGGCAGGCAGGCAATCAGTTAGGGTCGATCAGGCAGGCAGACAGAGTGTTTAGGGGCTATCAGGCAAGCAGGCAGATGAGTGGTTATGGGTGATCATGCAGGTAGGCAAGTGGTTAGAGGTGATCAGGCAGGCAGGTGAGTGGTTAGTTGTGATCAGGCAGGCAGGCAGGCAGGGAAGCGGTTAGGAGCCAGTGGTCCCGGATTGCAAGAGGGATCTACAACAGCTGGTTTAGGCCCAATCCTGATTGGGATCAGGCCTAAACCGGCAGTTAGACATCCCCTGAGGGGTCCCAGACTGCGAGAGGGTGCAGGCTGGGCTGCGGAACCCCTCCCCCCTTTGTGTACAAATTTCATGCACCAGGCCTCTAGTAGATATATAATTAAAAAATGAAGAACATACTTTACATACAATTTTTAAAAAAATATATTTCTTTATTTATTTCAGAGAGGAAGGGAGGAGAGAGAGATAGAAACATCAATGATGAGAGAGAATCATTGATTGGCTGCCTCCTGCACACCCCCCACTGGGGATTGAGCCCACAACCCAGGCATGTGCCCCTGGCAGGAACCGAACCCAGGACCCCTCAGTTTGCAGGCCGACGCTCCATCCACTGAGCCAAGCCAGCCAGGGGGGCCATATAATTTTTATGTTCTATTGTTTTCATAACCTTGCAGTACTTTTAAATTATTATTTGATTTTCAAGAAAACTTTTGGGAATTATCTGTTACACAAAGTCATTCAATAGAATGCCTATATATTCTAGTAGGTTGGTCAACATTGGTTTCCACTGCTTTATTCGACATTATTTAAAGTTAACCTGTGTTTCCCATCAACTACTCGCACATATGTATAAGATTTGCTATTACTTTACTAACATTCAGTCTCGTTTCTTGACCCTTTAAGAACTATGGGCCTTATATAAACTGCTCTTCAAACCTTAGTTAATCTAGTAACTATTTCAAAAAGTTAAGTCACTATTTATGTTTCCTCATTCTTATGAAAACATGGTATCTAGCTGCTTGGATGAGTCTATTTAGTGCTGTTAAATATTTTGTAACTAATTCTGTTACCAAGACTGTCACCACTCTCAAGTGGCCTTCAGCTGGAAGAGGTCATCTTTGTCTCTCCTTCTAAAAAGACAGCAAAAAATGAAACATTTGACCAAGCTGTTCTGTATAGTAAACATTTTCATTATATCTCATAGGATTTGAGAAAATTTCCTTTTTATATTGACTTATTTAACATGAAGTTAAATTACCTAGATAAAAATTAAAAATTCACTCTACTATACAGATTTAGAGATTTAACAAGAAACTTTCCAGAAATCTTAAGATATATGTAGAATTCATATAATTTAATGCAATAAAATGAGTGAGTGTTTTACATTTTTCCCAATGTACTGGCAGTGTATTTCTATAATTGTTTTTGTTTTTTCCCCATCTTTTAAAAAAGATATTATATTGTCATGGCATTTTTTTGATTATGAAACAGGGATGCTCAGAAAGTGTCATTTCCAAGGGTCCAAACTAGCATACACCCTCCACTCTTATCATTGAGTTCCCTTCTTCTGGCTGGACCACTTTAGGGCCTTTTGCTCTCAGGTTGGACTATGTATGAGGAGTTGGAAGGGAAAATTTGACAGGAGACAGATTGAAGTAGTGATTCTACCATCTGTGTGTGCTCAACCTGTGCTGTGTGAATCCAGTCACGTCTGCTCTCTTGATCAGCCAACCTGGAAATAGGCAGACCAAATGGATTATGGATAGAGCTCATCTCAGGAAATGTGATCTAGCTGGAGGTGGGAGCACCAGTCTAAGAGTTAGAAGGCTTAACTTATAGTCACGGCTCTGCCACTTAGCTGTGTGGCATTGGGAAAAATACTGTAACTTTCCTGAGAGTTAAATTCTCATCTGTAAAATGAGAATATTGATACAAGTGCTGCCTTTTTTTGTTTTGTTTATTCTGGACACTTGATAAAGATGAAATCAAACAATCTGAGGCATTTTATGTCTGGCATATTTCACTTGTTTTCAAGATTAATCCATATTGTAGCTTAAATCAGTATCTCATTTCTTTTATGGCAGAATTATATTCCATTATATGCATGTCCTGCATTTTGTTTCCATTCAACACTTGATGGACATTTGAATTACTACTTCCACTTTTTGGCTATTATAAATAATGCTGGGATAAACAATCATGTACAAATTTTTATGTAGACATATATCTTAGATTCTCTTGAGTATATACTTAGAAGTGGAATTGCTGTATCATATGGAAATTCTATGTTTAACCCTTTGAGGAACTGCCAAAATGTTTTTCACTGTGGCCGTAGCACTTCACATCCATACTGCAACATATGACGTTCCATTATCTCCATGTCTTTGCTAACACTTGTTATTCTCTGTCTTTTTAAAGAAAATATGTTTTTATTTATTTTTAGAGAAAGAGGGAGAAAGAGGGAGAGAGAGATATAGAAACATCAATGATGAGAGAGAATTATTGATCGGCTGTCTCTTGCACACCCCCTACTGTGGATTGAGCCTGCAACCCAGCATGTACTTGACCAGGAATTGAACTGGCAATCTCTTGGTTTCTGGGTCAGTGCTCAACCACTGAGCCACAGCAGCCTGGCTCTCCGTCTTTTTTATGTAGCCATCCTAGTGGGTATGAAGTCTGTTATTGTGGTTTTGATTTGCATTTCCCTGATGATGTGGAGCATCTTTTCATGTGCTCTTTGTATATGCTTTTTGGAAAAATGTCTAATAAAGTATTTTTTCCACTTAAAATTATCTTTCTATTATTAGTTTTAATTGTTCTTTACAAATTCTGACTACTCAACCCTTATCAGATATTCGATTTGAAATATTTTATCATATTCTGTGAGCTGGCTTTTCACTCTCTTAATAGTGTTCTTTGATGCACAAAAGTTTTTAATTTTGAGGAAGTTCAATTTATCAATTTTTTTCTTTGGTTGCTGTGTGTTTGGTGTCTTACTTAAGTCATTGCCTAGTGAAAATGTTCCAGAACTAGACAGTGGTGATGGTTGCATAACATTATAAATGTACTAAATGCTACTGCATTGCACCCTTTGTAATGGTTAAAATTATGTCTATGTTATATCTCTTTTACCACAATAAAGAAATAATTGCCTTATCCAAAGTCACAAAGATTTGCCTCTATATTTCTTTTCTAATTAATTAATTTTTGTGAATGCTGTCACAGAGGAGACCAACCTCATGTGCTGTCCCAGCACCATTTGTTGAAAATTTACAGAGTTTTTCCTAATATATTATTACATCATTTATCACAGTTTGCTTGGTATCGAAATTATTTGTGCATGTGTCTATCCCCCAGCAGATCATGAACTTATTGCTTATCCTATGTAATAAAGAGGTAATATGCAAATTGACCATCACTCTAACACACAAGATGGCCA